TAAGTCATTTGAGGCGGCGCAGAAAAAGACTAGAGTAGGGAAAGGTGTTGCACAACTCGGACAACAATCGCAACAATCAATCCCCCCTCTTGTCATTCGTAATGAATATGGTTCAAACTTAGACTTACCGGACGTTGATTTTTGATGAAATGCCCTCTTGTCATTCGTAATGAATATGGTTCAAACTTAGACTTACCGGACGTCGATTTTGAGGAAATGGTTCGGTTTTACAAGGATACCGGTTTGGACCTTGTCCAAGTGCTCGCTAAAGGATCATCTGCTCCGAAAGTGGATTCTTGAAAGAAATTTGAATATGGAAAGAGTCTATACAACCCTGAGGCCTTATGTGAATTGGGTACGCAAATGTACCTGCTAAACAAGTGGTACATGGCGGCATGTGAACAGAGAGAGAACTTTATTTCTGTCAGAGTTAGAAACCAACATTACTTCCGTGGCGATGACGTTATATATGTCGAGTTTTTAGAATTACACCAACTATGCCACCTAGACTCTCTTGACAAAAGTCTCATTAGCTGCTATTGTCTGTAAGTGTGATTATTTTCTACTATTAAAGTATATATATATAAAGCTACATGTATATATATCCTCACACTATATTTTTATATATGCAGATATGAGATGACAGAACTCAGAAAGAGAAAGGATAATGATGTTGGTTTCATTGATTCAAATGTCGTATTCAAATACCCTGATCCCCCACCTCAATGGAAAGCTGAACTCGAAAAAAATCTCATGAGGTTCTTAGTGAACCAACAAAATAAGGAATACTCTTCCCCTACAACTTCAAGTGAGTGGTAAATAATTAATGTCGATTATATGAACATTTGTTCAATTATTTGCTTACTAGCTAAGCTATCTCCCATATATATATGTTGACTCTAGTTAATGTCGATCATATTTGTTGTTTAAAAATATATGCAACAATCACTAGATATTGATGGTCATCGATATAGCCAATAGTCGGTTGAGCATCTTAGACTCATTAAGAAAAGAGCAAACAGAGTACCAAGACATGATAGATATTATCTAAGGATAATTTGGTCTCTCTAGCAACTATATATACCCCGATCTCTTAACTGCAACAATTATTAAAGGCCAAATTAATTTTTTATTTTATTGGATGTAGTGTTTGAAAAAGTTTCATTGAGGAACACCACATGAAACATTGCAAAGCGTCACTAGATGTAATTGCACACAAAATAAGTACTAGCTACATTTATATATATATAATTCAATTAACACCATGCATGCTTTCAATTCACTTGATCTTTTTTCTCGTAAAAGTGGGTTCTGAGGCAAGAACAGAGAAATAACTATTGCGGATACTATGTTTGCGAGTTCATCATGGCGTACTAAAAAAGAACTCCTGAAGAGAACCTCAAAGTACGTTATATAAATATATTCATATATTCACAATTTCTTTTATTGCTCATATATATATAAGTAATCACGTGACCAACATATATATATATATATATATATTAATATATTTTTTTTAATTTTTATTGAAGACTCTATGGTTGAAAGAAAAAGTCATACGACGTGACCAACTGAAAGCAATTCAAGAGATCATAGCAGGATTTCTTAATGACCAGGTCCTAAACCCCACCGGCGAGTTCTATAATGACGTGAACGAAACATGAAGCCAAACCAGATGGAGTAAATTTGTTATCCCAATGATATGATAGAATATACAATGCAAGATTTATTTGTAATATATATATACATATTATATATACATAAAATAACGTACAATATATGTATATGCATGTAATATATATGTTAGTTTTATACTTTAGTTTGTACAAAATGTTCGAACATTATAAACGTGTAGAATACGTATATTATTAACAGCGTAGAATGCGTATTCGAAAACCAAAACGATTCATCAATTAAAAATAAAAACAAAAAAAAAAAAAAAAAAGAAAACCTTTAGTCCCGGTTGGTTTGGCCAGTGGGGAGACCTTTTAGCCCCAGTTGGTACTACCAACCGGGACCGCCAAACCAAGACTAAAGGAGGGGCCCTTTAGTCCCGGATTCGTGCTCCCGTTTCAAAACCCAGACTGAAGGGGGTTGAGAACCGAAAGTACAACCCGTTTCTGTACTAGTGAGAAGGGTTGTTGATAGACGAATAGACATAATTTCTATATTCATAGAGTTCGTTAAGGGAGAGTCAGACAAAAAAATGGGAAATAATTTTTGGCCTTTTAATATTAGATATAGATATAAATGAATTTAAGATGTAATGCAATTATTCTTAAGGTGCAACTTACATAAGGTAATAACCCGTGTATAAAGCTATTTGGCTCTAAGGGTTGAAAACCACTCACCAACATGCCAAGTTTGTACATAAACATGTAATAAAATGCACCACTATACTGAATTAGATTACACTCAAGTATTTGCACCTGGACAAGGTATTTTCCATTAGCGATAGGAAGTCGTGACATTGCACATGAACATGTATGGACCACACTTGCTCATGCCTTTTGTGCTGATGTATGGCATCAAATGGCTCCATTATCACTATCTTTCTATTTTTCTGATCTTGTTTTTTTAGAGTAATGGCCTCATAATATTACAAAAATCTTTGTATTTTACAAGCTACTGTTGTTTATGCTAGACCAAGTATAAAATAAACATGGTTTTCAGCTTATTGGCTGTAATCTCCTTTAGTCTTGCGCGTGTCACTATTCAAGAGATAAAGTGTTAATGATCTACTACTTATGGTATTACCACTTCCCTATTGTTAATTGTTATTAAGTAGTCATTAATATTCCATGTGTTGTGACTTTGATATATCTCTTTAATTCATATGTTAGGTACGGTAATATCACAATATGATACATTTATTGCTTTTGCTATTAGTAAAATTTATTTTGAAGCCCAATTGATTTCATATAGTGATGCAGTGAGTTTTTTCTCTCTCTCACTTCACAAAATATCATCCTTTTAGGTATGGAATAGCTAGTCCTTTTAGTGATATTACGAGGTAGATAAAGATGAGCACCATATGTTTGCATGCCACAGCATCTAGCTATTGAACTAATCTTGATGTCATTTTTAGTCATTTTGTTTCCTTCTAATCATTTATGGCAGAACAAGTTGTATGGTGTACAATGTTGCCATGGCTTTGTGGTGTGTTTGGGTGGGGTTGTTGACTTCTTGTTATTGGTGGTGTGTACGTGTGGGTTGGTGGGGGCATGGGGCACTGTTGTTATTATATTGAGCTAATTTCTCTTAATAATGCAAGCTTTCATGTATATAGTCATACACTAAGGGCATATTTGGATACACACAGTTAGTTACTAGTTAAGACTAGAAATTAGCCCAATTTAGCTATGAATGGCTAAAAAGCTAAAAAATTCACCCCTAAGAGCTTTTCTAAATCTCACTCTCTAAATCATAATTTAGAAAGCCATTTGCATAAAATTTGCTTTCCATATCTTTTCACTCTCCAACAGTTTTTCTATATCTCATGCATACTCTAGAAAGTCATTCTCGTCTTCTATTTCTGGCTAGCGAAAAATCCAAAATAGAAGATGGCTATATTTGGATGACCATATAGAGAAACTATTAGATAGTAGTTTTTCACCAAAATCTCTATTCATAGCATTTAGAAAAGATATGGAGAGTTCCTTGAAGATGCTCTTATTAGACCTCTTGTTTGGATGCACTAAAGCTATCTCCTTAGAAAAAAACTAAAGCTAATTAATTCTAGTTATTTTTCAGCGCTAGCAATTAGCCCACGTATTCAAATAGGTCCTAAAGATGGCAGAGATGATGGGGTGATTAGTCGATAATATTTGGATAAAATATGTCATTAGTTTTTTTAATTATTAAGTGATAACACTTTTTTTATAAAAGAAGCTTTTATTAATTTCAAGCACTTCCAGCCTCTGCTTAAACAAGCACACAACCGACAAAGAAATAGTAGCCCAACACATTATAGTGGCTATCAATCCCTAAACTAGATCACCATCCATCCATAAACTAGAGTTTGTGGAGCACATCTTTAGATGCTCTCACAACTCCACTTTTTTTCTCGAACGAAGTGCGTGGAGCTGAACCTGTTTGGCTAAAAAACGTGGAGCGGAGCTAAAAACGTAGAGTGGAGCAGTCCCAAACACCCCCTAAGTTCTAAGTGTAGCACCGCACAGGAATCAACTAGATTGCCAAGATGGAAATAACCATTGCCGGTAGTGTGTATATATATACTCGTATGTGAGATAAGATATTCTTCCCCAGCGCGCGTGCGCTTGCAGCGCTGCTGGCGCACACGGCCGCCCCCTGCACTGTTCATCTTCTTCCCCGTCCACCTCAACCACTGCCCAGGCCGCCAGTGCCCTCCCCGCCTACCAGCCACCCCTGTCGGACGAACCCACCCTCCCCTAACTTTGCCGGCGCTCGCCCCCGCCCCCGCCCATCCGGTTGTCCTACCTCGCCCGCTCGGTGGTGCCGCCTTCGCCTCGCTCACCGCCGGCCAACCCACCACCACCACCGTGTCGCGGCCGTCACCCCCAGCCGGCCGGCCAGCAATCTAGAGCCGGGGAGATTCTCGAAGCCTCACCAGCCGACAAACCCTAACCCTAACCACCATCTCCCCTCTTCTTTTCTTCTTTGATTCCGGTGCGTGTGTATTCATCACTGTTTGTGTTGACGAAAGAATTCGGGAGTGAACAAGTGCGGCAGTCGGAGAGAAAACAAACCCAGGTCTTGGGTGTCTTGGGCCACTTCGGTTGGGCCTGAGTTGGAAAACAGTTCAACCTCCAAGTCAACCACGACTCCGGAAGCACCTAAAAACACAATAAAACGAGAGCACGGTGAAATTATTTCAGGGCAAAAAGACACAATCCGAAACCCTCGCATCGTCCTGCCCTTAGCCGCCGCCGCCGCCGCGACAGAGCCCTCATCTCGGCCGTCCTCCGCGGCCTCAGCGGAGCAGGCGTCACCGGAGACCAAAGATCCGGCCAGATCTGATGTCAGGAGGGAGTGGTTCATCCGGGCGCGCGGCCCCGCGGTACGCCCCGGATGACCCGACGCTGCCCAAGCCGTGGCGAGGCCTCGTCGACGGCACCACCGGCTACCTCTACTACTGGAACCCGGAGACGAACGTGACGCAGTACGAGCCGCCTATGCCCCCCGATAACCAGCTACTACCGCCCCCGCCCCCGTTGCCTCCCCCGCCTCCCCGGAGCCGCGACCGCCGCGACAGGTCCAGGTCCCGATCCCGATCCCGAACCCCGCCCCGGCGCGACCACAGGGACCGCGACCGCGACCGTGACAGGCGCCACGACGAGCACGCGTCCTCCAAGTCGGCGTCTTCCCACCACCAGCCGGCTCCGGTAGCCGTCGCCGACGATCCGTCCACCGAGGCTTACAGCCGCCGCCATGAGATCACCGTCACGGTATGAATTCTACGCGGCCACATCTCCTGCTACAATATTAGATGCAGCTCAAGCTCGTACCATGTTATCTGATCCGATCTCTCTTCTTGTTGCAGGGGGATAACGTGCCAGCTCCAATAACTTCATTTGAGGCTGGTGGCTTCCCGTCAGAAATTCTGAAGGAGGTATGATTCCGTGGGTGAACCCACCTAACTCATGATCTAACTCTAACCCTAACAGAGTCGCATGCTAGGGACCAAGGTCTTCAAATATGGCGAGCGAAATGGATCGTGGACATGTGCTCCAGTTGCCTGCTTGTTTCTCTTTATTTGCTTGATTGTGCTAAATCAGGGCTGGCTACGTGTACCGACTGCTTATCTCCATATCTGTGGCAGATGCGATATCTGCTCCGAGGTGGAGGTAATGTCGTATGCTGCCCCGCGCGCCCTCGGCCAATCTATAAGTGAGATGGGCTGAGGGCAGGTCTCGTTGATGGAGCTGCCAAGGTGGGTGAACGCCCGAGGCTGCTCGCTCCCTCCCTGGGGGCTGCCCATGGCGCGAAGGGGCACCCACTCGCGGCACCCACGGTGGCCGATTTGTTGCTCTGCGTCCAGTTCTTGGAAAGGGCTCCTCGCATGGATGATGGGCCTCTTCTGGGGCTTGACCCATGGAGGTCTGGCCCAGGCTGTCAACGTCCATCCATATATAGGATCGGGTGGCAGCTGCTGGAAGGGGCCTCGTGGATCAACTATCCATGCCTGAGCGAGCCTCCACGGACTCTGTTAGAGCCTTTTCTACTTCGCCTTGTGTCTGCAAGTCTACACATTGCGGGCACATTTTATTTGTACGGCCTTAAATTGTCCTCATGCATTGTCTTTATTTGCGCAACGAAGAGTTAAAAAGGGATATTTTTAATCAAATTTATGTGCTTATATTAATTCTTCTGTTGTCCTTACTTTGCCCTTGTTTGTCGCTTTCCCCCCATTTTACTTTTTGTAGATACAACGTGCTGGATTCGCAAGCCCAACACCTATCCAAGCCCAGTCATGGCCAATTGCTATGCAAAGTCAAGATGTAATAGCTATTGCGAAGACTGGATCAGGCAAAACTCTTGGGTATCTACTTCCTGGATTTATGCATATCAAGCGCCTGCAGAACAGCACTAGGAATGGTCCAACAGTGCTAGTTTTGGCCCCAACAAGGGAACTTGCAACACAGATTCTGGATGAAGCTGTGAAATTTGGAAGATCTTCTAGAATTTCTTGCACGGTTTGTATCTATTTTATTAATATATACAAATGGTCTTCTAGAATTTCTTGCACGGTTTCTATCTATTTTATTAATATATACAAATGGTCATGAATTTATCTTTGACCAGGATATTAGTGCAAAAAACATTTTAGGGAAACTTTAAACTGTTGACCAGGTGTTGAAGTTATATTGTGAATTATAATGTTGTACTTGTTGATCTGTTTCTAATGTTTGCCTCAGTGTCATGATCTTGGGTTTATATTTTCATCGTTTGACCTTTTGTTCTTAATCTTCTTATAGTGCCTATATGGTGGTGCTCCTAAAGGTCCTCAGTTGAGAGATTTAGATAGAGGGGTTGATGTTGTTGTTGCAACACCTGGAAGGTTAAATGACATTTTGGAGATGCGAAGGGTAAGTCTTAAGCAAGTGTCGTATCTTGTTCTTGATGAGGCTGATCGCATGCTGGACATGGGCTTTGAGCCACAAATACGGAAGATAGTGAAAGAGATACCTCACCGTCGGCAAACCCTTATGTACACTGCTACTTGGCCCAAGGAAGTCCGAAGGATTGCAGATGATCTTCTTGTTCATCCTGTACAGGTGACAATTGGAAGTGTTGATGAGCTTGTTGCTAATAGTGCTATTACTCAGGTATAAGATGCATGAATGGTAGTTTCTGTTCTGTTCTTATTTCTCTTACACAAAAAATCCTACATTACATATTCATGTTATCCTATTTTCTTTTTCTGTGCAGCATGTAGAGGTCATAACACCCTCAGAAAAACAACGGCGCCTGGAGCAGATATTACGATCCCAGGATTCAGGTTCAAAGATATTAATATTTTGTACCACCAAGAGGATGTGTGACCAACTTGCAAGGACACTCACCAGGCAGTTTGGAGCTTCGGCCATTCATGGTGACAAGTCCCAAAGTGAAAGGGAGAAGGTTCTGAATCATTTTCGATCTGGGCGGTCACCTATTTTAGTGGCAACTGATGTTGCTGCGCGAGGTTTGGACATCAAAGATATCAGGTTAGACTAACTTTCCATTCTCTGTTATGCATATCCATGTGTGTATGCCTTTTGATTTCTAATGTCATGGTATGATGGAATAATGAAGAAGCAAATTAGATTGGACATTATTGACTAAAGTGCTTGTTAATACCTTGCGTGGACTAATTAAAATGAAGAAAGGTCAACATGTTTCCATGCGTCACTCATCTTCTTTGGAGGTTGCTGATGCATTACTTTTATATATTGTTATTGATTTCCATATTTAGATGATTACAAGAGATTAAGAGATGTTTGGACCATCATGTGTCACCACTTAGAACTGCTGAAATGGTTGCAGAATATGTTACCTGTTGCATTGGTTATCTATTGAGATCCTAGTCCAGTTTGTTTCACTTTATCTGTGCCTTTGTGGGTCCTTTTTGGTCAGAATTTATATCAAAAATAGTGAAAAATAGTGAAGCATTTCTTGTTTTTTTTTACACAGGGTAGTGATCAACTATGACTTCCCCACTGGTGTTGAAGACTATGTTCACAGGATTGGCAGGACAGGAAGGGCTGGTGCCACTGGTGTTGCATATACATTTTTCTGTGATCAGGATTCAAAATATGCTGCTGACCTAATCAAAATTCTGGAAGGGGCAAACCAACGGGTGCCCCGTGATTTAGAGGATATGGCTTCTCGTGGTGGTGGGCGAGGTAAGAAGAGGAACCGTTGGGCATCCCACTCTGACAGGGGTGGTTCACGTTCTGAACTGGATTCAAGGAGTGGTTGTGGCAGTCGTGGAAGGGATGATTATGGTAGCCGTGGCAGGTAAACTTAGTACCAGGTTTCTTTTATGTGAATCGGTGATTTGTCTGTTGTGCTAGGATATGCCATATATGCTGCATTTTTATAATTATATTCACAATGGCTTAGTAATAGTAAATGCACTAAAAAGCAAAGGCAGCATAGAACTTTTAAGATGAGGGGTGCAGGTCCCCCTCTCTAACTCCACTATCTGCACCACTTTGGAGAAACTTCAACCCTATTTGTTGCAATTGTTATGGACCCCTAAAAGTTTAGCTCAGTGTTTTATTTTTTGAGAAGAATCAGATAGGAGGTTATGATTTCAAATTAGTAATAAGAGTAGCATATCTGAAGTTTGTTTTTGTTTTTAGAAGAATCTGGTACGAGGTTATGATAATACTCAGTCCATATGCTGACCCTGACTGATTTTTTTGTGATGCTAACAGGTATGACTCTGGTGAAACTGATGGGCGATCTCGTAGGTCTGCTAGAGGTCGCAGTAGAAGCCGTAGCAGAAGTCACAGTAGAAGCCGTAGCCCAAGTCCCAAGAGGTCACGCCGTCATGAAGCTAGACGTAGCAGGACTAAGAGCCGGAGTAGGAGCAGGAGCAGGAGCTATAGAAACCATCGTGCTAGCCGCAGCAAGAGTCGCAGCCCTGTTGCTAGCCGTAGGCATGAAAAGACTGCTGCTATTTCAGGATCTGCTCGGCCTAACTCGGGGCATGCAGAGCACAAAAGCCCTCCAAGATCTCACTCTGTGGATGACCATGTGAACCACTCTGACCACAAGGATGACCACATGGAAGATGGGAAGATGGAAAGGGTTGATCTTGATCGCTCGCCCAGCCCACAAGATGACAAGTCTGCTCCATATAGTCCTGTGTACAATGGCAAAGCCAGTGGCTCGATGAGCCCCAATGTTCAGCCAGAGGCAGATGCCAAATATGTCAAACCTTCTGGGAAACCTGAGCCTGCATCTCCAGTGCGCCACAGCAAAGGCAGAGATGATGACGAGGAAGGTATCATAGACGAGGATGGAGAGATTGCTGAGGATGATCCGCGTGCAAATGCAGCTGTGCAGAATGGTAATAACTGATGGAGAGTGGCCTGCATCTTATGTGACAACAAGCCTCTGTTATGCAAACTGCAGTCATTCCCATCTGCAAGAGTCCAGAATACAGAAATGCATTTGTGTGCCATTAAATGTCTCGTAGAACATATTCCTCTGCCATCTATATGAACCCAAACTGTTGATGCATGTCATGTTATGTTGTTAAACTTAATGACATTGTTGTGTTATGTCTTACTGCCAGTTCTGGAAGTGATTTATGATAAAGTATATTGTCAGGTCTGAATTTATAGTTTATGACATTTGTCAGGTCTGGAAGTACTACCTCCGTCCCTAATAAAAGAATGTAACTATGGATTGCGTGCCACGTGATTCATGTTTGACTAAGTTTTTAGTTAATGATATTCACATTTATGTCTCTAAATTAATTTATTATGAAAATACATTTTGTAATTAATCTAATAGTATTAATTTGATACTATAAATATTTATAATTTTTTTATCTATAATTGGTTAAACTTATATTAAAACATGGCACTGTTTTAGAATTGTATTCTTTAGTATTTATGATGTTGGCAGCTCCCTAGTTAGTGATATCTAGGATTACGAAACCATTTATAGCCTGTTTGGTTGGTTGGTTTTTGCCCAGCCAGGCTTGAGGTGTTTGGTTGCCCACATCCTAGTTGGAACCTGCTCCCCAGACGTAAGACAGTCCAGCGCTTTTCATTTGTGTTCCTGGAAGCTTGGCCCGTATGGTGCAGTGCGGAGTTTATTAACAATGCTATTGATATGTGATTAATGTGTATTAAGGTGATTAAGTGATATTAGTTTATTTAAAGTAGATTAATTAAGATATTAAAAGTAAAATAGGGACTACTAAATTGTAGTTACACAAGTTAAATAAATGTTAAAAGATCACCTGTTTTTCTATTTTAATTTCATACGATACGGCTTCATGCAGGCATTAATCTTCTCAGCTAGGTTATATACATACAAACAACCAAACAAGGACAGCCAACATACCTCTGCAGTCTGTCTAGCGAGGGCCTTCCATGTGTGAGCCAGGCTGTTAATCTTTATGCTGTTCATTTTTTTTCATCAACGAACTTTACACGCTATTAATCTTTATGCTGTTCATTTTTTTTCGAAGTTACCCACCAATGTCTAGCAGTTCAATATGGTCCATGTGCCCCCAAAACTTTAGTGAGCTGGCGTTGTTGGTGAGGCACCCAACTATTTTAGGCCAATTTCAGTGCGTGAGTTTTTTGTGTGTGTTTCCATGAAATAAACTGATCTTTGTGAATTTTTTATATAACTTCATTTTCAGAATATAGAAACCTTTTTCGGTTTCCTTTGTTTTTTCTATGAAATATAAACTGATCTTTATGAAATTTTATAATTTTTAATAAAATTCTTGCATTTCAAAGGGGTCCTTATTCATTTTTTTCTCTAGAGCACATGTGAGTTTCTTGGGGTATGAGTCTCAAAGTTGATAATGTGTAGCGCCATGTTGTGAGCCCACGTTCATTTTTTTTTAGGTCCTGCAACATATATAGTCCATTGAAAGATGGTATGACCATTTTTAGGTCTCACAACATCTGGGGTCCGTCAAAGATGGCATGATCTTCTTTCCTTATTGCTCTCCATCTACTGCACTCGAATTGTAGGGAACGGAGCTAATCCTTCACCAGTCAAACACCACCTGGCCTTTCACAAGGGGATCCCCTCTATCTTCTTGTACTGAGGAAGAATTGACAGTGTACAACAGAGGATTTCTCATGCCCTGTCTAGGCCTCCCTCTCACAATTAGCAAACTTAGGCCTCCCTCTCACAATCAGCAAACCTACAAAGACTGACCTCCTGGCCTTGTTCGACAAGGTTGCTAGCTACTTACCTGGATGGAAGGCCTCCCTCATTAATAGACTGGCCGCTTGATCATGGTTCTTGTAGAGTTAGCAGCTATCAATCTATCTATATATTGATGGCTATGAATCTTCTAAAGTTGCTCATCAAGGCTATTGACAAAAGGAGAAGAGGTTTCTTATGGAATGGAAAGGACGAGCAAGCCAATTGTGGTAACTGTCCCATCTTTGGGGAGGGAGTCCAGCAACCTATATGGTACGGTGGCCTTGGTGTGCATAATTTAGAGAATCTTGGTTGTGATCTATGTATCCGTTGGCTTTGGGCACAAATAGTGGATATCTCAAGATCATGATCTGGCCTACCAATCCAAGTGCCAACAAAAATTGGGACCACCAAGTTTGCACAAATAGTTGGGCTACTCTGAAATGCAAATTATTTACCCGGTTAGCTGTCAACATTAGGTGTTAGACAACTGATCGTCATGCTGGATTCCCATATGCTTTTGCCTGTCCTCTTTGTGATCAGGCCAAGGAAACGATCTAGTATACCCTCATCTCTTGTATTTTTGACTGACACATATGGCGCCTAATTTGTCAAAAGCTAAACCTACCAGACTTGGCGCCTTCAAGAACTGCAAACTGGTTCTCAAAGTTGGTGGTAAAATACCACCAAAAGTAGTCCCAAGGAACTGCACAAAGGTCTAAACTCCTTAGGCCATGTTCGGTTAACCTAGAATGAGGACCGGAACTATTCCCTGTTTACTCGCTTATACAAATTAAGCTAGTATTCCGGCTGGAATATTTCCAGAGAGTTCATTCCTTGATAACCGAATGAGGCCTTAATCATTGCAACAAACTCCAAATTGTGGAAATGTCTTAAGAACAAGGCTAGTAATGCAGCCTTGAGCTGGTTGTATGTACATTTACAGTTTGCCTATTAGCTCACTCATATAATAGTTATCTCAGTAAAACCCACTTTTTTTCCTCAAAGTTTTTCTGGTTCTTGTGTATAAGCTGCCTGTAAACTTTCAACCCGCTTCTCTTCTCTCTCATCCCCTCTCTCCACCTCAGCCCTGCAACCCTCCATTATACTTGCTCTAATGCCTGTGTTTTGAAGAAAACCCAATATCCTTGCTCTAATGCCTGTGTTTTGAAGAAAATAGGCCCCAAACATTGGCCAATAACGGTAGCTTGTGGTGTATGTCAGGGGCTTCAACCCTTAGAGCAACTCTAGCAAACTACCTAAACATTAAACACACTACATATCCTTTATTTGGGTAGTGGAGGCAAAAAAACACACTTTAAGCTATTAGACTACCCAAATTTATTGGCACAACAAATTCCTCCTCCCACTACCTACTTTTGTTAGGCCAATAGATGGGCACCTATTTGGTTTCTTCCCCACGCACGCCCACAACCGCTCGCCTGCGCTAGTTCTTCGTTGTTGTCGCCCCCTCGCCGGCCCCCTTCCTGCACCGCCGCTGCCATCTATGGGTCCGGTGAGGGCGGATCCGGTGTCCCCGCCTCTCTCCGCATGCCGGCCTGCACCCGACGCGGCGGCCCTACTGAAAGGTCCTAATGGCTAGAGGGGGGTGAATAGCCTATTAAAAATTTCTACAACAACACTTAGCAAACCGATTAGACAAATATGAGGCGAAGCGAGTGTTGCGATTCACTCACTTGGATGTTCACGCGCTAATTGGCATCACACGCCAAACCCTCAATAGGGTGCCGCACAACCAACATAAGATGAGGATCACACAAGGCACGAGTAATCCACTAGAATATCTTTTGGCTCTCCGCCAAGGAAAGGTCATGAACCCCTCACAATCACCACGATCGGAGCCGAAGACAATCACCAACCTCCGCTCGACGATCTTCGCTGCTCCAAGCCATCTAGGTGGCGGAAACCACCAATAGTAACAAACGAAACACGCAGTGAAACACGAACACCAAGTGTCTCTAGATGCAATTACTCAAGCAATGCACTTGGATTCTCTCCCAATCTTACAAAGATGACAAATCAATGATGGAGATGAGTGTGAGGGCTTTGGCTAAGCTCACAAGGTTGTTATGTCAATACAAATAGCCAAGAGAGGGAGCTTGAGCCAGCCATGGGGCTTAAATAGAAGCCTCCACGAAAAAGATCCGTTGGGCTCAACCCCTCACTAGTTTCGGGGTGACCAGACGCGCCGGTCAGACTAACCGGACTCGCGGCACCCCAGCGTTCGGTCGTGGATCACCATCCACGTGTCCCCGCTTCAAATGCTCACCGCCCGATCCCAACGGTCAAGTTCCCGCGCATGGTTAAGTTGTGATCGGACGCGCTGATTAGCGACCAGACGCGCCCGACGCTGCATCCGCTCACCAGCAAGCCCGCGCGCCTAACACTGCAACCGGACGTGCCGGTGTCCTCGACGACATGGCGTCGGGTCGTTTAAAGAGAGCTCCCCGAGCGCCATTTTCGTGACCTAAAGCGTCCGAGGTGGCATGACCAGACTCAGCCCAGCGTCCGGTCCTTTGACTGTTCACCATCCGAAAGTTTTCAACACAGCCCGAGCTTGCGTCACCATACGTCAGATGTGACCGGACGCAAGCCCTGCGAGTCCGGTCACATTTACTATGCTATGTCCGATTAGGACACAGACAGAACCCGAGGGCGCCTACATTTTATAAATGACTGGACTCACCACCTCACTGTCCAGTCATCGTAGAAGCTGCGTCCGGTCACTGTTTCACAGTGACAATCACCTCCTTCACTTCACCAACTTCTCCACCCTTGCTCAAATGTGCCAACCACCAAGTGTATCACCTTGTGCACATGTGTTAGCATATTTTCACAAACATTTTCAAGGGTGTTAGCACTCCACTAGATCCTAAATACATATGCAATGAGTTAGATTATCTAGTGGCACTTTGATAACCATATTTCGATATAAGTTTCACCCCTCTTAATAGTACGGCTATCGATCCTAAATGTGATCACACTCGCTAAGTGTCTCGATCATCAAACCAAAAAACTCCTATGGAATATCACCTTTGCCTTGAGCTTTTTGTTTTTCTCTTTCTTCTTTTCCAAGTCCAAGCACTTGATCATCACCATGGTCACACCATCATTATGATCTTCACCATTGCTCCACCACTTAGAATAGTGCCACCTATCTC